GCATTCTTTAGCCTTCTGTGTTTTTCCTTCCCTCCCCACTTAAAATGTGGTTACAAAGCATGGATCCACATGGATCCTCAGGATCTTTGCATTGGGTCACCCCAAATTCACCATCAGAGCACACAGCATGTCCATGGCTACAGCCTGCCCCCCAAAATCACACACCCATTGTTGCCTGGGCTGCAATGGTGCAAAAACGTGGTTACAAAGCATGGATCCACATGGATCCTCAGGATCTTTGCATTGGGTCAGCCAAAATTCCAATCAGAGCACATAGCATGTCCATGGCTACACCTGTCCCCCCCAAAAAAAAAAAAAATCACGCACCCATGTTGCCTGGGGCTGCAATGGTGCAAAAACGTGGTTACAAAGCATGGATCCACATGGATCCTCAGGATCTTTGCATTGGGTCAGCCAAAATTCACCATCAGAGCACATAGCATGTCCATGGCTACAGCCTGTCCCCCCCCAAAAAAATCATGCACCCACTGTTGCCTGGGGCTGCAATGGTGCAAAAACGTGGTTAAAAAGTATGGGTCCACATGGATCCTCAGGTCTTTGCATTGGGTCAGCAAAAATTCACCATCAGAGCACATAGCATGTCCATGGCTACAGCCTGCCCCCCAAAAAAAATCACGCACCCACTGTTGCCTGGGGCTGCAATGGTGCAAAAACGTGGTTTACAAAGCATGGATCACACGGGATTCTCAGGATTTTTGCATTGGGTCACCCCATTCACCATCAGATCACATGTCTGTGGCCACAGCATGAAGCACAAAAATGATACGTCCACTGTTTCATTCAGAATATTTTTTCCCTTGTTTTCCTCCTCTAAAAACGATGTGCGTGTTATGGTCAGGTGCGTGTTATAGAGCGAAAATACGGTTGGAACTGATGGTTGCCACAGTACCTAAAACCCCAGATGCTGTGGACGCTTGTTCATAAGTCTAAGAAATAATATTTTGTGCATGTGGTTACTGCATAAAAAAGATAATTGTGAAACCACTGCAGTTCTTCAAAATATCACCTTCACTTGCTGTGCCTCACTCTTCCATGCAGGGTGTATTAAAAAAAAATAATACTTAAAAATCTCCCACTGGCAACTAGGGTTAATAGAGTTCTGTCCTCCATTAGGGCAGTTTTTGGGAGGTTAATAATCCAAATTATGGCAACGCCTTTCTGTTACTACCCAATTCTGTTGCTACAGTTGAGCGGCAGACTGTTGTCATACTACATCTGTTTAATTCTGAGGGTAATTTGAAAGATAATTCAACAGTACTAAGTGCCTCAAGCCTTCTGAGAATTAAATCACTTTAAATGAACATAATTGTAAGATATTCTTATTCAACAGTGAAACGCATGTGGCAGCTGAAAAGTGGAGTGCAAAAATTAATGCATCAAACACAATTTTCAGTGTTTCACTTCAAACAGAAAATTCATTTCAGAAGTCATTCAAATTAAGAAAATATTAGCTGAGCGTGTATTTCCAACTCAATCCCCATCATTGTATTAGAAGGATAATATTTCTGCAACAGAATGAAGCTTCTAGTTAGGTTTTTTAATTCTTTAATGAACTTACCATATGCATCTCCATCAAGATGCCTGTTCAAGAAAATGCTTGTATCCCATTTCTAACATATTAGAGTTCTAATGTCCCTTCCTTTTTAAAACTATTGATGATTGATGTTTCCACACATCAATAGCTACTTTTAAATTCTGGCTGTGAACTGGTGGTTTAACTTTATGCCCTAAGCCTGTACCATTTTTAGGACTTTTTTCTCCTTCATTGTGTTGGAATGAAACAGCCAAACAGTGAAATTGTCGTGGATGGAGAGAGATCAGGCAACTTGGAGTGAACTCAGAGGAAAAAAGCTATCAAATCTCTGGTGCTTTACTTGGGAAAAGAATTGTAGAAGCATAAATGGAAGAGTTTCTAAAAGATAAGGATGGAAAACCATGGCAAACATAACAGGAAATGGGAACTGAAGAGCTGGGTGCAAATTAATGGCTATATAACAAGAACTATGGAATAATATCTCAATATATTTGAATAATATCTCAATATATGATCACAGCAGAGAGATTCCTATATGGACAAAGATGGAAATATTTATTATTGTTTAATATGGAGACATGGTTGTTGAAGTTACTGGAGGCAAAGGTGATACGTTCAATTAGAGGAAAATACATTGCTGACCTTTATTAATCATAATGATTAGAGAACTACTTTTGGACTTTTTGTGTGAAAAGGAAATTGAACAAATCTGTATTGGGAGCAATGAAGAAGTGAATTAAAATGGACAATGTCAGCGCCACCCAAGGTCCCAGCTCACAGAGACCAACGCCAAGTCCAGCTTATGTACAAAAGCTTTTATTGAAGAACATTGTTAGCTCCACATCCGAGGCGCGTGACCCCACGTCTGTTAGGCTTAGACCGCTGAAGTCCCTTCTGAATCAGTCCCGCCCCTACACCAGTTTAAGAGGCTTGCGCTGGACCACCTCTTCCTCTCCTTCCTTTTCCGCAGGGTCTTTCTGCCCCCCTGGGTTCCCTCCCTCCGGGATTCCCCAGAGGCTGAATCCTCTGACGCCTGCTCCCCCCTCCTCCGTGCTTTGGGACCAGGCTCCTCCTCCGGGCTCTCCTCACTTCCGCGCGCCTCCACATTTGAACTTGGCGCGCGTACGCTGCTTCTGACCTTCCTTTTGACAGTTACACTGCTCTCGGTACTACTCTCCGCCCCTTCCGGCAGGACGTCTTGCCCCAATCTCCTTCCCCTCTCTGCTTCCTGCTCTGCTCCGTCTGACACACTGGGAACTCCACCCCCTTCACTCCGTTCCGGCGGAGAAGCCGGTCCTGATCTCCAACTCCCACTGGGGGTTCCCCTGCTGCTGCCCTGCTCCTGACTACTCCCCCTGTGGCTCCCCTTGGCCTGACCAGGGGCGCTCCCTTTTGGGAATCCTCCGATTCACTGGAGAGACTCATGGAACCCCTCGACTCATTGTCATCTTCTTCCTCGTCGCCCTGGGATCCTTCCCTCGCTCTCAGTCTCCTCCCTCATCTGCGTCTCTCTCCCTGAACCCCTGACAGACAACACCTTGTTTTTTGACTCAAAACTCATCCTTAAAAATTCCTGTGCAAATAAATGTATATAAAATGAAGAGGTTGTTTACGGATTCAGTAGCTAAAATAGGACATTAAACAGGAACAAGAAGCAATTATCAGAAGTGTACAAAATTGCTAGAGATGGAATTTTGACCAATGGGCTTGTTATACAGAGATGCCACCAACGGCTGGGGATCTAAAATTCGTAAGATCGGCAATGTTCCTATCTGCCTCCTATATTTTTCTTCCAGTTTTGGAATCTAGCACATATATTGAAAGCATGTCTTCAGTCAAATTCTTCCTCCTGGTTAGATACGTGTCTGAGATTAGTTCAACAAAAAATAAGGTTGGCACTCTATTGGCCCCCTGAAGGTTTAAGGGTTGGTGGCCAAAAATACTGCTGGAGTCAACGATGATGCAACGGGTAAGGAGTTCTCTGGTAAGAATTACCGTATTTTTCGCTCTATAACACGCACCTGACCATAACACGCACATCGTTTTTAGAGGAGGAAAACAAGGGAAAAAACATTCTGAATGAAACAGTGGATGTATCATTTTTGTGCTTCATGCTGTGGCCACAGACATGTGATCTGATGGTGAATTTGGGGTGACCCAATGCAAAGATCCTGAGAATCCTGTGGATCCATGCTTTTAACCACGTTTTTGCACCATTGCAGCCCCAGGCAACAGTGGGTGCGTGATTTTTTGGTGCAGGCTGTAGCCATGGACATGCTATGTGATCTGATGGTGAATTTGGGGTGACCCAATGCAAAGATCCTGAGGATCCATGTGGATCCATGCTTTTTAACCACGTTTTTGCACCATTGCAGCCCCAGGCAACAGTGGGTGCGTGATTTTTTTGGTGCAGGCTGTAGCCATGGACATGCTATGTGATCTGATGGTGAATTTGGGGTGACCCAATGCAAAGATCCTGAGGATCCATGTTGATCTATGCTTTGTAACCACATTTTAAGTGGGGAGCGAAGGAAAAACAAAGAAGGGACATGAGAGGGGTGTGCAGAGAAGCAGCTGGCTAAGAATGCTGGAGAGGGATTTAACGGGTGGGAGGCAAAAGTTCCCCCCCAAGCCAGCCATCTCTCTCTCTCTCTCTCTCTCTCTCTCTCTCTCCCTCTCCCTCCCCCCCTCTCCCTCTCCCTCCCCCACTCTCTCTCCCTCTCCCCCAGCAGTACCGGAGCACAGAGACGACACTTTCCCCTCTGCTTGCCTGGAGGGGAGGGGCTTTCCCTGCTCTTTGTTCCGTTTCAGCAATCACAGCCAACGAAACAGAGGAGGGTGGGCAGTAAGACC